CGCTGTATACTGGTACAGTATAGCGACAAATGTGTGGTTGGGCTACATGATGCCGCGCATCGAAATTCTAATCTTGCTGAGTGCGTGGGGCCCAACTACTACCGCCGTAACGATTTTCCGGCCCAGCACGATGGAGTTGCCCGGCAAGCCTGGGGTATTCTGCCGTGCGTGCAGACCTTGTACCTTGTACCACGTGGCACGAGAAGTCTCACTGCAAGACCCCCCTCCCCCCCCTCCTAAAGCTAAGGCATGCAAAAATGAGCACGCCCTCCTTTCGTCGCCTGGCAACGACGTTGTAAAACAAGCCAATTCACTTCGTGAGCTCGGTAACCAGGTTACCGGTTTTTTTTTTACCTCCGTTTTTTTTTTGGGCAGTAACCATAACGGTGGTCGAGTAGATCATGTTGTGTGGGGTTGAGAACCCTCGCTCCGCGCAAGGGGGATGATCGCACCACGTTGTGTTAAATGGTCAAGCACCCTCGAGGCAGTTACACAGTGACTACAACTGTCAGGAAGTGAAAGCACCAGAAAATAAATTAAGTCATACGCAGCTGTCATCCGTACGCAAGGAAGTGAGCACAAAATGCCGAAAACCCTTAGCAGGATGCAGCGCACCCTTCATGCTACTCGCCGAATTTCTCACGGCACTTCGCGCTTGGTGATGTGAGAGCCTGGTCCGGTGAGAACCCGGCGTGCTCCGTCCCGGCTTTGTAGGGATGCGAGGTCAATGGTCTAACGACTACGGCATGCACGACTATGAGTACACCCCCCCCCCCCGGGTTGCCCAATACCACGACGGCGGTGTCTCTACAAGAGAGGATGCTGCTTTGAGCAGTTGTCAAGACGAACCTAGGCCGGTATCATTTGAGCATGGCTCTTCTGTTACCCCCCGCGCTTTTGCACCCAGGTTTCTGGAGTGGTTGGAGAAGAAGGTGGAGGGGTGCGAAGACCTCGACGAGCGGGTCGGTCTCAAGTCGCTCTTGGATATCATCAAGCAGGCAAGCTGAGGGTTAAACGTTTTTTTCAATGAAGAATCCACGCAGATGGTATAGGTTTTGACCCGGTGTGCGTCGGAATAGGATGCAGCAGTACGTGCCTCTTCCCCTTTCACGCTGGACGTCGATGTTTTACGCCTTTGTCGGTGTGTTTGTGCTGCAGCTGGGGTTACACAGGAGGAAGGAAGGCCACAAGGGACGTTGTTTTTGCTATAGTAGGCCGAGCCACACACGTTCTCCTTGGTGTTGACACGCGTTGCCAGCAGTCATCGAGTACTGGTTTTGCTCGAAGTGAGCAGAGGAGGTTGCGCACCCTAGTATTTATTAGCGAGAGGCGACGCGGAGTGGAAGGCGTGAGGAGGGTTCCGCGTCAAGAGAGGAGGGTGTCCCAACCAAGGCGTGCCCCCCCCCCCCTTCCCCC